AGGAGTTGGAGGTTGCTGTGAGCTGTGATGCCACAGCACTCTACCCAGGGGGAAAGCTTGAGGCTCTGTCTCAAAAAAAAAGATCACTTGAACCCTAAGAGTTGGAGGTTGCTGTGAGCTTTGACACCACAGCACTCTACCCAGGGTGACAGCTTGAGACTCTGTCTCAAAACCCAAAAACCAAAAAACAAAGACCCCAAGAGAATTCAAACCTGAGGGAGGTGAAAGAAGGGCTAGGTTATGGGGTATGGGGAGCAGATCTTACCGGCAGGTCCTCCGCCCGCTCCAGATAGACACATAGTAGGGCCGCTGCTAGCTCTGCGCTCTTCTGAGTCTGGATCAAACTGTTCACCTGAAGCACCTGTGGGAGGGCACACTACAGGCTAGGCAGCAGTAACTTACACCCCAGGGTCTGGCATGTGCCTTGGAAGCTGAGAGGAGAGCTCACCCTGCCCCATCTTGGGTTCCCTGTTTACCTCCTCTAACTCAACAGCAGTGAAACGAGGGGTCAGGCGCTCCAGGCGCAAGTGCAGGCGGCCGGATGGGACATCTTCGAGGGTCAGCCACTGTGAAAGTAGGTAGGTAAAGACATGGGGGATGTGAGAACAGGTGAGAATAAGGCTTGGGAAAGATCAAGAAGGATTACTGATTCTTGGCTCAGTGCCTGTAGCTCAGCGGCTAGCGCACCACCCACATACACTGGAGCTGGTGGGTTCAAATCCAGCCCAGGCCTGCCAAACAACAATGACAACTACAACCAAAAAATAGATGGGCTTTGTGGCAGGCGTCTGTAGTCCCAGCTACTTGGGAAGCTGAGGCAAGAGAATTGCTTAAGCCCAAGAGTTTGATGTTGCTGTGAGCTATGTCACAGCACTTTACCCAAGGCAACATAGTGAGACTCTGTCTCAAAAAAAAAAAAAAGAAGGCTTAATGATTCTAATCTAATGCTTACCTCATCAAGGAAGCCACTATTTAATACTGTGGTGAGACTCACTTTACACCTATAGAGGAGAAAGATTAAGATAAGAGGTAGTTGGTCAGAATTGAGTCTCCCTCTCTAATTCTCTCTCTCTCTCAGACCAGATTCTAAGGCCTACAGAGGCCCAGTCTGTCTGCTCACCTGGACTGCTCCCCTTACCTGCCCAGAAAATCATCCTTGTCCAAGTCCTTGTCAAAGACTTCAACCTCTAGCTCTTGGCCTGGAATTGATGTAACAATCACCTAGTGGAAGAAAATAGTGCAGAGAAAAGGGGATTCTCTCCTTTTCCTCTCCAGATGACTGGACCCTCCCAACCAACTGAGCCCCAGAGTTTTCTGGACCACACTTAGAGCTAGGAGGAATAATGGGGCAGGACTGGGAGGAGTCCTTGCCACTCAATTCTGACCTCAAAAACCTCATTCCAGCGGGGATTAAGATCTTCCCGGACAACACGGCTCCGGAAGCTCCGTCCTGCCAACTTTAGTTTCACATAAGGGTCTGACTTGCCCTTCACCAATCCCCCTAAAAAACGGTCTTTGGCAATCAGGTCCTGGGCCTCTAATACATGGATCCGAAGCACATTCTGCAAAAGAGACAGATGGGGCATCAAGATGGCAAAGCACGAGAGACCTGCACCATCTTGAAACAGGCTGCATACACTTAGGGTGGGCAAATAGCCTCGCTCTTTCCAGATAGAGACTCACCTCAGTCCCAAAGTGGCTGTCAGGAGTGGTGTGACAGGGTCGAGGTGGGGCATCCACGCTGCTGCCCATTTGAGGGCTCTCACTGTCCAGGTTTCCAGCACCAGGAGCACCAGGCACAGTGGGAAAGCATATTCCTGATGAATCCAAGTACAAGATCTGTGAAGGGGAGTGTGATTGTTGAATCAAAAAGTGCAACTAGTCACCAGCGGGCAAGGTGTTGTGGGGGTTAGGAGACAGAGTCGGGACTCTGACCAGGTTCCTGCCTTGGCTGGGCTCATCTCTAGAAGTTTGTTTCCATACTCTTCCCCAACTCACACACCAATCCGCCCAACAGATCAACACTTTTTGTGCACCTGCTGAGCACTTCTACAAAGACTAACCCATTTAATCTTAGAAGGCTCCCCTCTTCCTTAACTCTTGATACCAAAGAATCTGCAGGCCCTGGCCCTGTAGCATTTCCTCCATTTCCTACCCTCATGACCAGTTTCATGTAGAGCCTAGAGTTAGGGCCAGAGCTGCTCAGCTGGAACCACTGGTCCAGGGTGAGTTCAGGGGCCGTCAGCAGGCGAGCCAGAGGCAAGGTCAGTGCCCCTAATGTCAGGGCCCTCGAGTCATCCTTCACCTATAGTCACAGGAGGAAGGAATATAGTAAGGAGATTAGAGAAATAGGAGGCACACTGGGTAAATCTAACATGGCTCCAGCTTCATTCCTCTCTGTACCAATCACAAACCTTTTGCTCCGCTCAGAGCCATCTTTTCTTTTCTTTTTTTTTTTCTTTTGAGACAGAGCCTCAAGCTGTCCCCCCGGGTAGAATGCCATGGCATCACAACTCACAGCAACCTCCAACTCCTGGGCTCAAGCAAGTCTCCTGCCTCTGCCTCCCAAGTAGCTAGGACCACAGGTGCCTGCCACAGTGCCCGGCTATTTTTTGGTTGCAGCCATCATTGTTTGGTGGGCCAGGCTGGATTTGAACCTGCCACCTTAGGTGTATGCGGCTGGTGCCTTAGCCACTTGAGCCACAGGCACCGAACCACAGAGCCATCTTTTCAATCTGCCCACTCCTTAGTCCCTTCCAGCTTTGCTTATTCTATTCCCATGTCTTGGGAAGTTCTCATTTTCCTCCTTTGGCCTGTTTAATTCATATTCATCCTTCAAAATCTTAACTTGCAGCTCAGTAGCTAGGGCGCCAACCACATACACCGGAGCTGGCGGGTTTGAACACAGCCTGGGCCTGCTAAACAACAATGAAAACTACAACCAAAAAATAGCCAGGCATTGTGGCAGGCACCTGTAGTCCTAGCTACTTGGGAGGCTGAGGTGAAAGAATTGCTTAAGCCCAACAGTTTGAGGTTGCTGTGAGCTGTGACGTCACTGCACTCTACCCAGAGAGACATAGTGAGACTCTATCTCAAAAATACACATGGGCTTGGCGCCTGTAGCTCAAGTGGCTAAGGCGCCAGCCACAGACACCTAAGGTGGCGGGTTCGAATCCAGCCCGGGCCCGCCAAACAACAACGACGGCTGCAACCAAAAAAATAGCCAGGCATTGTGGCGAGTACCTGTGGTCCTAGCTACTTGGGAGGCTGAGGCAGGAGACTCGCTTGAGCTCAGAAGTTGGAGGTTGCTGTGAACTGTGATGCCATGGCACTCTACCCAGGGGAATAGCTTGAGGCTCTGTCTCAAAAAAAAAAACCCATGTAACTTGCTTTATAAAATCTCTCTAGCTTCTACACCCTCTGTACCTTTCTCTGGCCATCCTAATATGTGTATTTTACTCCTACTAGTTCATATGTAATTGTTCGATTTTATGTATGTGTCTATTGTCTATGAAATTAGTGAGTTCTTTGAAGGCAGATAATGTTTCATGCTTTTGAAATGTTTATTTATTTATTTATTTATTTATTTTTTGAGACAGAGCCTCAAGCTGTCCCCGTGGGTAGAGTGCTGTGGCATCACAGCTCACAGCAACCTTCAACTCCTGGGCTCAAGTGATTCTCCTGCCTCAGCCTCCCAAGTAGCTGGGACCACAGGCGCCTGCCACAATGCCTGGCTATTTTTTGGTTGCAGCTGTCATTGTTGTTT